TTCCTTTTTCCCCAAAATTTCTAAGGGGGGGCTTTTTCCAAAGGGGGGCAAGGGGGGCCCCCAAAAATTTTTTTCCCCCTTTAGGGGGGGAAAGGGGAGGGTTCCAAACGGGTTTTTTTTCCAACCCGGTTTTTTTGGGGGGTTTTATTTTTGTTGGGGCCCCCCTGAAAAAAAAAAAATAAAAATTTTTTTTGAAGTTTTTGGGGGGTTTCCCAAAGGGGGGGGGGTTTGGTTGGGAAATTTTTTTTTTTTGGGGGGGGTTTTAGGAAAAGGGGCCCTTTTTTTTTTTTTGTTTTTTTTTTTTTCCCTGGGGGAAAAAAAACCCAAAATTTTGGGCGGGAAAACCGGGGGCAAAAAAAAACCCCGGTTTTTTTTGGGGAAAAACAAGGTTATTTTCCCCCCCCCCCCCCCCCCCCCCCCCCCCCGTTCCGTGCCCACCGCGTACCCCGGTGTGTGCCAGGCGGATTGCCTCTTGCACGGGCACTCGTACACGGCGCACCCAGTGGGGTGTGCAGCTGCGGTGGAGTTCTTGTCCCAGGCAAGATACTTGAGATACTTGAATGAAGAGACAGGCCGGTGTTGCCCTTTGTGACGATGCCCGTCCGAGGTTGCATGCAGCTGCTCAATCCATCCATAGATTTGATGCGTTCGATGCGCAAATAAACGTCGTTCGTTTAGTTTATTTGTTTTTTTGGTGGGGGGGGAGGGAGGGGACCAACCATGTGTACAATAGTCCAATGCTGCTCAATGCATAGTTCCGGTTCCTGTGGGAGATTGCACGCGACGCAAGATACCACGCCCGGCCAGGTTAAACAACCCCACACCCAATACAGAACAAGCGAGGGCCATGTTAAGTTTTTTTGGCGGCTAAAATGCACCCAAACAATGCTGCGCCAAGCTTCTTGGTTTTACCCCCCGTACTCGTCGTGCTTCGGCAATTCATCCATGTTTCTAGCTCTACCCCACCGCGCGCGCGCCCTCCCGCCCGCCCGCCCCGTACTTTCGTTGGCAACACAGCTTGAAAAGAGCTCCGTCTACCCGGGCACCGGCGGTCGGATGTCCGACTCGTGGGACGAGCAGGCGGTGCGGGCCCTGTCGAGGCTGCCGGCCGTTGACCGCGCCTTCGCCCTGGGGAGCGTGCTCGCGATTGAGATGAAGGCCGCCGACCGAGGGTAAGCTTTGCAAGCCGACGTATGTAGTGGCAAGTCGATTATCTCTCGAACCGGTTGCCGTTAATGTAGTTGTCCAATCAGTTGAGTTCATTCTGATAAATAACAACGGGGAGAGGCAGTCGTTTTGTAAACGTTGTGAAAGCTTCTGGTGTTTTATTATGAGAGGATGTTCCGCAAACATCGGTTGCTGTAAAACGTTTTTGTATGCTGGTGGTGGTTTTATTAGAAGATGTTCCAAGGCACAAACATCGGCGAGTGCTCTTCGGGTCACACCATCAAGCAAGTTGCTATGCTGCATGGCTTAAAGCGTCAAGCAATTTGTTATGCTGCATGACTTCAAGCGATGCCTTTGTCGGGTCGATAGGTTTGCTCAGTCACAAGCAAGCGTGGTTGACTTGCCGAGGACTACCACCGCGTTGGACAGCAGCGTGAATGACGGAAAGAGAGCCACCTCGGACAAGGGATGCCGCCGATGTACATGTTTGCGCGCTTTTGTTTAGACTGTAACCAACCAGGCATGGTAGCCTGAATGGGGCACGGCAGGTCTAGACACCGCATTGCTTTCACATCGCATGTGTTGGACATGTCTCGACTTTTATCAAAACTGGCCTGTCGTGCGATGACATTGTATTTCGCGGAACTCCCCACTTCATGCCTGACGAACCTGCCTTTGAGCCAACCAATGGCACAGCTGTATCGCGGAACTCCCCACTTCATGCCTGACGAACCTGCCTTTGAGCCAACCAATGGCACAGCTGTATTGTGATTAATAGGCGCCAACCCCCCTCCAACCTGCAAACGCACGTCGCATGACTTCACTCTTCCCCCTCCCCTATTGACGCACGCCCTTCATTGCCCTCGGTTTCTCAAAACTGCAAACAAACACGCTCTGCCTGCAGCTACGACTCGCACGGAGCGGTAGACGTAGTGCAGCGACTGCACGAGTCCGGGGTGTACGCCAGGGTGCTGGGCAACGTGGCGTACGTGATGGTCTCGCCCACCACCCCGGTGGAAGCCTGCGAAGGTTTGATGGCCACCGTGGCGGGCGTGCTGAGGGGTCTCGGCGAGGAGGGCGGCGTCGGCGGCAGCGGGAAGGCGGATTCCGAGCCGGACTCCGTCGCGTACAGTATTTGATCCTTTCGTATTTGTTCCATGGTGGTTGTAGTTTTGGTCTAGTCTAGTTGGTGTGTTGTGGCGGGGTCCAGGGTTAGGTGGAGGTACGGCTGTGGTACGCATGTTGGCGGAGCGAGGGTGTGGAGGCGAGTGTTGCTTTCCGGGAAGTACTCCTATTAAGTATGAAGAGTTAGGGGCTAGGTGCGGGCTCCGGGAACTTGGTAGTAGGTGAGAATTGTGGTATTCCGGAGGGCGATCAAAGAGGATGATCGCCGCAAGGATAAGATAGCAGCTACCTAGATCATAGAGAGCATGGACAAGCAGGTGTGACGTGGTGGGGCCGTTTCATTCGTGCGAGATGATCCGCCGGACGGACCGGTGCACAGGTTTTGTGTCGTTTGTGTCAAAGTTTTGTTCATTTGTCAGAGACGGTCATGAGAGTGTCGCGTCCAGCAGAGAGCAGCCTCTCCTTCTGATTGGGATTACCAAGCTAACATGTCATGGACATCTTGTAGGCGAAAAACGCTCCTTTGTCAGCAACACTGCCTTGCTCTTCGCTTGAAACATCCAGCAGCATCAAACAAAACCCTCAGTCTCAGCAGGTGTAGTTAGTTCATGTACCGCTCCCGTTTGTTAACCATCCGCGTGAAAGCGAAAGGAACGAATGAATGGTGTGCGATCGATTCCATTCCCGATCCATTTTGTGACGCTGGGGCGCCGATCAAACCAGTCAAGCCACCATGACGGAGGAGCAAAAAAACTGAATTGATTAACAGGCTCTGTCGATATCGCACAGCCCACATGGTGCCACCGCGCGCCTGGCAGGAATCGCGCAGTTGCGCCACACTCTGGGTGCTCATGACCACATGTTTTGTTCGTTTTTTTGGTTTAAGGATCACACGTGCAAGCTGCCGACCGTTGCATATGGAAGAGCGGCGCAGAGTATCACGGCGCAGAAGCAGCAGCAGGATGCAGACACCAAGTTGTTTATTCGTCCTTCACCCTTGCTCGTCTGCCTCTAGTCATCCCCCACCCCGCGCTTCTTCAAAGCCAACACTCCCTAAAACCATCCTCTGAACGAACTCAAGGGATGGCAACTGCACGCTCTGGTCTAGGGAGAACTCGTCTATTCTCGGGGCACCCGTGTCTGTCCCCCCGCGGGCTTTCAAATCAAAGGCACAAAGCACTTGCGTTTCCTCGGCCGTGGGCACATAGAACACACATATTTCAATTCTGGCGCTTGTTCGCTATCTATCGCCTCTCTTTGCTACTGAACACACCAACCACTCCCCAGAGGGGACTTGAGGATGTCCACTGACGCCGTTTCGCAGAACTCGTATTGAGTTCGTGCTACTATGTGGATCTACGCTGTAGACTTGACAGGGACAGGTATACGGTCGCCATCCCTGTGGACGTATCTGTGGCACATTTCAACGCGAGCGGCCTCAACAAAACCCGACTTTTCTGACCAATTGCGCTCAGGCAGCAACAGCAACAGCAACAGCAGCAGCAGCACGCCCCGTCATTCGACGCGCGCATGCTTCGACAAGGACAGAGTGATCAGCAGCATTTCGAAAGCAAAGACGACCGACGACGACGAATAATAGAAACAAACGTCGACCGTGGGCGGAGGCGTTCATTTTGAGGAAAAGCGAGCGCCAAGAAAACAACCGAGCGTTGGCGAGGATGCCGTCAGATCGGCAACCCAACCGCAGGACACAAGGAGACGCGCGCACGCAACGCGCCGCGCCCATCGTGGCCGTCACCCCCCCCACTATAATACTGCAGACGTGTCGCCACGGGAATACGCCGGCCACCCTGAAAACCTAGAACCTCAAGGAAGGATAAATACTCTCAAGATTAGGGGGGGGGGGGGGCAAGGAACCCTCGACGGGGATTGATTGATTGCTGCGTGAAATCAATCAACGGCGGGTCGTGCGCCCAGTGCGGCTCCCACTGCCGTAGTAGCTGCTGCTGCGCCTGCTGTTGCGCCTGCTGCTGCTTCGGTCTCCCTCCTTGTCCTTGTTGCGCATGAGTATGATGCAGATGCGCACGAAAATGCCCACGAAGTCGATGAACAGCTCAGCCGCGTGCCACGCGAAGTCCCTGTCTCCGAGGGTAGCCTTCTCCACCACCAGCTGGGTGTCGAATATCACGTAACTTTAAAGGGGGGGGGGTCGCCGGAGGGAGGGGGACAATACGCACCGCGCAGACAGGTGCACGGAGGGGGCGATTGGCGTCACAAAGACCCCAGTTTTTGCAACAGTGCGGAGAGCGAGAAGGGCTACATTCGGCACCAGGCATCGAGTGCTGGTCGCCCCGGTGGTCTAGTTGGTAACCTCGAAACCTTCTAGAGGTCAGGTCAGGGGTTCGAATCCCGGCGCAAGAGAGTTTTCTTGCAGAGTGAGTTTTTCTCTCGCTTCCCTTCTGGCCTAGTGGATATAGCGCTAGTTCGTCTGTACACAGAGGGAAGAGAGTGCTGAACTCTTCTCGCAAATCGAAGGCAAAGTACCGCAGGAGGGGAG